CATTTTCTGCTTGACTGGAGGCACTCTTCCCTTGGGACAAAACCAAATCATGGTACGAGGAATCAGATAAGGCCTCTAAGACAATCAGAGGCCCTGGTGATATATCTTTTCGAGGTGCATAAAGATTTGACATGCATATTGACTCGAATATTCGAACAAGAACTCGTTTTCTAACCGGGCTGAAACATACCCGTACGCATAACGTAATCACTTTGTATAATTAATGACATCACCAGCCGCGGATGGATGGGGGTACCATAGTAGCGACAGGTACGGTATTGCACTGCGGCGTCAATGAAACTAAAAGAAAAGTCGTACTGGTAACCAGCGGCCTTATCGGAGAAACAATTTCCCTCCACTCACCCCGTCTCTCATAGGTACTTACCGACCGAAGCTCACACGAGTGGCACAGAGCAGGCAGCAACTGCTTGCTCCAGTGTGACTCCTGGCCTCACCAGCCCCTGCTCACATGCACTCTCAAATATCTCCCGCCACCGCTGCTGCTGCTGCTGTGATGACCCATCAGTGCCACCCTGCCAGCCAACCGCAGGAAAACAGGTAGGGTGGGTGGGAAAAAACGGGGAAGGACAGGGGAGGGTGCGAGAGGGGGATAGGGTGAGGGAAGAGAAGGGGGAGATTTTGTGGAACAGGGGTAATTTGAGGTGGTTTGGAAGTTGGAACAGATGGGAGGACTGAGGTAAGGGAGAGCGTGAGTGGGAGATCACGTAGGGCGCAGGAAGACGTGTTGCAGTGACCTCTGAGTTGAGTTGAACAGAGGTGCCATGCACTAAGGTCGCTCTCACTCTCTTAGGTGCCTCTGAAAATGCATAAGCGTGTCGTCATGGGTATCGCTATGTGCTGCTGAGCAGATGGAGGGGAGATGGGGAGGCGGGAGGATGCACAGCAACAAGAGGGCGATTGACTGCTGTGAAGCTGCAACCCAACCAGCCAAAAGCATGATTGCTGCTGCCTGGGGCGCGTGGGAGCAAGAGAAGAAAGGGAGGAAGGAAGACGTCTCTCCCAGCTACACACCTCCTCACTCTACAACGACTGGCAGGGAGACTGGCTTCACACAGACAAGTAAGTCTCCTGCACTACTCCCAAAGAAAAGTAGCCCAACAGCAGCCGCAGCTGCAGCTGCTGCAGCATTAGCAGTTGAGTTGAGTCTAGCCATGTCGACAGCAGCACAGCGCTGCTATCTTCTCCCGTTATCACCCCAACTGCGGCCACTGCTCCCACACTCACACCTCGTACCCATGCATGCAGCACAGCAGCAGGTGCAACTGTTCGTAATGCGCCTCACAACAACCAGCCTCAGAACCACACACCCCACACACCCCACACACCCCACTCACCTCGCCTCCTTGCAGCACAGCAGAGGCGAGCAGCAGCGCGGAGGTGAGTCCATCAGGAGCGATCCCGCGGCGCCGGGCAGTGTTGACAGCTAACTGCATGGCGCTGTTGTCCCCCGCCACCACGTACGCCGCCAGCAGCACGTTGTATACCGCCATGGCCGCCCGGGGCAGCGGCGCCGCAGGGGTGGAGGAAGAGGAGAAGGAGGGGGAGGGAGTGGGCGGGGAGGGAATGGGCGGCAGCAGGCCGGCGTATTCAAAGGCGAGTTCCACGTTGCCGCTCTCCACGGCTGCCAGCATGAATGCCCCGTGGTCCGCTGCTGCTGCCGCGCTGAGAGGGCGGGGGGTGGGGGGAGGGCCCGGAAAGTGGGGGGAGAGCAGGAGAGGGGGAGAGCAGGAGAGGGGCGGCGTGGGGAAGAGGGCGTTGCGAAGTGGGGGGGAAGGGAGGGGCGAAAGGAGAGGGTGGGGCGGAGGCGTGGTTGGAAGGAAGTACTTCCTTTTGAAAGTTCCGCGGTGCCGCCAAAAGGAAGTACTTCCTTCCAACCGCTTCTACCGGGGCAAGAGTGCATGTGCCTTGCTTGTTGCGGGGAGTGTGGGGGACGGGACGAGAGAGAAAGAGAGAGAAAGAGTGCGGTAGGTTGTTGTAGTCTCTGTAGGTAGGAACGTGGGTGCGGCTCGATTCGATTCCACGCCACGCGCTCATCCATTCATGACTAACCTGCTGCTGCCGGGCTGCAGCAGCGTCACGGGCTCAAACGTGAACGCCGCGCGTCCCTGCGTCATGGCTTCTCGCGCCGCGAGGAACGCCTCGTCCAGTCGCCCCTGCGCCACTAGCAGCCGGAACGCCGCTGCTGCCGCGCCTGCATCTTCCCCCTCCGCGGGGCCCTCGTTAGTATCTCTATCATTTCTATCATGGTTCTCTGCTTGTAGTGCACCTTCGCTACTATCCCGCCCTTCGTCCCATATAAAGACGTCGCGGGCGCTTGCGCGCAGCTGCTGCAGCCAATCCCTGACGTCCACCTGTCGCTGCCTCGCGTCCGCGCGTCGCAGGCGCGGGAAACGGTCCGGGCGGTTGTAGCGGTCGCCGTAGCGCACTACGTCCGACTCGAAGAAATCCCTCCCGCCGCCGGCGCCGTCGGCGCTTGACGGGGCGGCTGTAGCGCGCGCGGACGGCTTGGCGGAGGCAGACGCGGAAACGACGTCGCGGTTGGCGGGTGCGGTGAGGGGGATAGGGGAACGCGTCGCAATGCGCAGCGTATGGGACTGGGACGGGGAACGGTAAGAGCTGCGGGCAGGGAAGGCGTGGGAGAGGGTGAGGGAGGGCGGGGTGTGAGTGTGAAGCAACATTTTGAATGAATGTTGCGGGAATGGCGAGCGCGCGGAGCTCGTAGGGAAATACTACGATAGAATGCTACTCGGGGGAGAACTGAAGCTAGGCCGACGGGACGCTCTCTACTCACTGGGAAGGAAGGAGAATTTCGTAAAATCCATGGAGAAATGTGTGGGAATGGGAGATTTTCGAAACGTTGCTGTCACAGCCTTGTGCCAGGGGAGCTTGACACAAAGCATGGAGAACAGTGGTAACTGACGAATTCGCGATGCTTCCGACCATGTGAACGAAAGAAACCATACGCGTTACTGTAAGTGAGCAACATGACGCTGGATTCGTTACACATGTTAACACTTATCTGCGCACCACAAACAAATATTTCTTATCCCTTGAGTGCGAACCAAGCTCCTCCCTTGCTCCTCACCCCCTGCAACCAGGAGCACGTGACGCTACACGGGAGCGGGACACGCGCAGTTCCTAGTGATCGTCCAACCCGAGCAGCCTCCGCCTCCCGTGCTCTCCACTTCCCTGCTCGCTCGCATCGCTGTCTCGCGTTCCTCCGGTTTCCACTCGTTCCGCGTTACCCTCGCGCGCGTGCGTATTGCGCAGCCGCTTTATCCCTCCGCCAGCTCTCGCGCGGCGCAGCGGCGGCAGCGCGCATGGCGCACGTCACCTACCTGAGCGCGGAGGAGTTCGAGCGCCTAGCCGCAGATCGATCGAAGCGCGTCGCGGTTGTTGATGTGAGGTGAGGCGATCAGCGTGTCGGCTGCACTCGCACTGGTAGTTTCTGTTCTCTTTTCTCTTCTCCCCCCGTGCCACGCGTTTGGTTTCGTTGGCGCGCTCGCTTGTTGGAACGAGTGGCTTGCGAACGATGCGACACTCGTTCGCGCGTTTCGCAACGCGTGTGAGTGGCAGGTGATCTCAAGCGATAAGCACCATAGCAAAGACAGTACCAGATGTTTTCGTACTCTCAGAATTGAGCTGAATTGCGCTGAACGCACCCTCCAACTCGGTTTCGACTTCGTTGCTGGGCTATCTCTCGCTAAGACTGTCGAGATCGATGCTTGGTAGTTCTTCATTCATAAAGAGCGGAAGGGTGCCTTGGGGTTGAAGTGCTAGTGGCTTGATTATTAGCCCTTATAACAGGGTGGAGAGTTTGTTTGATATGGGAGACCGCATAGCACGGCACAGCACAGCACCCCGTGCATCACTTCCATCGTTCCCTCGGCATTTGCCAACATCACTTCGCATCACCCCGGTTTGCATTCTCTTGCACCAGGAAGGAGCCTTCCCCTCCAATCCTACCACCACGCATGGCATCATCGCATGCTGTTCCGCTCCTTCCCCACTCCCCCGCACCCCACGGGAGCGCGTGCAGGGACGAGGAGAGGCAGATGGACGGGCACATTCACGGCAGCGTGCACGCGCCCAGTGAGACCTTCCGTGACCACCTGCCGCACCTCGCCACACGCCTCTCCAACCACGATGCTGTCGTCTTCCACTGCGCCCTCTCCCAGGTGCGCCCGCCCTTCCTCATCTCCCTCCTCTCTCTCCTTTCTCCCCTCACTCTCTCTCCCTCATCTCTTCCGTCTCGCTCGCATCGCTCGTCGCTCTCAGGTCTCTATTGCTATTCATTCTCTTACCGAACCTCTATCTCCCACCCCTCGGTGCATCTCCCGTTCCTCACACCCCCAACCGCCACCTCTCATTTCCGTCCCTTCATGCCCTCCCTGCTCCTGTCACTTAACGGGTTTTTTCGTGGGTCATGCAAGCTTACATGGTTGTTTTCACATGCAAGTGTCTTTCCCGTTGTCACCTCTCTGTTTCCCTCCTGCAGTCAAGCCCTTCCTCTCTCCATACTGATCCTTCTCACACAGGTGTTCATTCCCTTGTTCGCACCCCTCTCATCACGTTTGCATGCACTCTTATGGCCTCTACGACCTTTAATTGACTCACCAAGTCCCTTATCCACCCCTGTTTCCCCTGTGTGCTGCTTGCCTTGCATGTCTCAGGTGCGTGGTCCCAAGTGTGCCAACATCTATGTGAGCCATCACCAGGAGCAGCAGCAGCAGCAGCAGCAGCAGCAGGGAGGTAGCAGTGGCAGTGACAGCGGCGCAGCACAGAAGAAGCAGCAGCAAGGTGGCTGCTGCATGGGTGTGTGTGTGGGCTCAAAGCAGCAGGGGCAGGAGGAGGAGAGGGTGCAGCAGAAGCGGCAAGCTCCTAAGGTGCATGTGCTACGGTACGGGTTCAATGGGTGGATGAGCTCTGGAAGGCCCTTCTGCACGTGCAGCGAACCCATATGTTGTGAAGCAAGGTGACTGACTGGTTATGGTTCATAGAGTTTATAAGTTGGACAAGGCGAATGGCCTTTTTTTCAGGGCTCGAAACTGGATTCGCGACAGTTTTGGGCTGGCGAGAGTTCAATAAGCGATGCTTTCTGTGCTGGGAATCGTTGTGGGGAACAAGGTATTAATGATGCTTGTCCTTGTGATTAAAGCTCTGCGGAAGCGTGTGAATGTAATCACAGGAACTGTGGCTTTGGAACTGATGTTTGGAAAAGAGATGCGAGCCTTCCCCTCCCACTTCAGCTGCCGTGCTACTTTGCCAAGCTCCAATCGCGGTGCATATCAACGAACCAGAGGAAGATAGTGACAATGACAACGAGAACGTTGAATTGAGCCCCCTTCATGCTCTCCATCTTCCCACCTTCGTTGAGCACCTTCCACCCCAACCCAGCCATCTCCTAACCTAAGTGTGGTTGCAACATCGTTCACCCATAGAAGTGTCTGATAGCAGCCACGGACGCAGAGATGGCGACTCGGAGATCCACACAGGCACGAACGTCAACACGGTCCCCCCTCTCCGCGCGAACGTAGTTGATGGCATGTGGATCTTAAAGGTGAAGCGGCCGCCTGGTTCGCCACCTGTCTTCAAGGCGCGTTACGTGGCTAGAGGCTTCAATCAACGTGAGGGAGTAGACTTCTTCCATATCTTCTCCCCCACCCTGAAGATGACCACTCTCTGGTGCTACTACACGTCGCAGCACAGCGAGACTATGAACTGCACTCACTAGACTTCTCTTCTGCCTTTCAACGGGACAGCCTGCACGAGGAGATCTGGCTACGCCGTCCTCCTGGCTTCACTGGTACTTTCCCGCCTGTGACCCATTGGAGCCTGAGACGACCAGTATACGGACTGCGCCAGGCACCTCGTGAGTGGCACCACACCCTGCGTACCACTCTTGCTGACCTCGGGTGCCGTCCTTCGTACGCCGACCCATCACTTTTCGTGTGTTTTGGCCCCATTCCTTTCTTTGTCCTCGTCTACGTCGACGACCTAGACAGAGCTGCTCTGGCTTCAGTGAAGTCCGAATTGCAGAAGAGACACACACGCACTGACGTTGGTGAACTGCGCATCTACCTTGGCTTGTAGATCACCAGGGACAAAGCTGCTCACACCATCACTTTGACTAAGTTACACATGGTGCAGTAGGTTCTTCATCGGTTCGAGCTTCAGTTCTCCACCACACAGCCTGTCAGAATAAGGAAAAATGAATCATTGACTAAAGCAGGATGAGTGGTGCAAGTAGCAACCCTAACAAAGGGTTGTACCCCATAGGGAGTAACCCACTACAGCCTAACATCACTAACATGATATAAACATGTCTTGACACACCCCCATAGGCAAAGGGGGGGACAACAAGGGATCACAAGACCAGTCAAGAGAAGAAGCAAAGCAAAACAAAGCTCAGGGTGGATCTCAAGATCACCACGCATTCTGAGCACAAGCAAGCGGCCACAAGGCCAGTTCATATGCAGAGTTTATAATAGCAAAGAGCAGTACACTGATCACAACCTAGCAAGTGTAAACATGCAGGTATACTCATATATATCAGTGTACAACAAGAGCAAGATCAAGAGACAAGCAAGTGAGGCAGAGTGGGCACAAGCCCCAGAGCAATGCAGAAACGCTGATGATCACTAGACCCAAGGGCCTTGGTGAAGCCATCAGCAGTGTTGGCCCGAGTGGCCACGTAAGCAAGACGAAGCTGACCACGCTGCTGCAGCTCTCGCGTGGGTAAATAACGGAGAGCAATGTGCTTCGTTCTGTGCTCCAGTCTCTGGTCCTGACAAAAGTCAATCATGGCCTTGTTGTCGACGTACAGAACTGGAGGAGAACGAGGCCGCTCACCCAAGTCGGTCAACAGGTAGGTCAGCCACCGGAGCTCCTGTGCAGCCATAGCCCCAGCGTAGATCTCGGCCTCACAGCTGGAACTAAGTACAGAAGAAGAGCGAGTGGACCTCCACGAGACAGAACCAGCGCCGAGGCTGAAACTGTACCCCTGTGTTGACCGGTGAGTCGTCTGGTCGTCAGCCCAAGAAGCGTCTGAGTGACCGGTGAGAACAACTGAACCCGGTCCTCCAAGCACGAGCCCCATTCCCGATGTACTGCACAAGTAACGCAATACCCTCTTCGCAGCATCCCAGTGCATCTTTCGATGTCTACCGGGAGCCACGTAGCAAGCCAAGAGGCTGAGAGGGTACGCGAGGTCAGGTCGTGTGCACGTCATCAGGTACATGAGGCAACCCACAAGCTCTGGGTACGGACCACTCGGCTCTACGGACTCGTCCAAAGGTGGAGCTGAGAGTGAGTGGCCGGTAGACAGAGGAGTGGGCTGTGGCGAGGACTACGTGAAGTCAAAGCGCTGAAGGACCTGCTGCACCATGTGTGACTGAGTGAGGGTGATGGTGCGGCGTGCTCTGTCGCGGGTGATCTGCAAGCCAAGATAGCTCCGCAGCTCACCCAGGTCAGTGCAAGTGTGTCTCTCCTGCAGCTCCGCCTTCACCAAGGCCAGAGCCTCAGTGTCAGCAGTAGCAAAAACCAAGACGTCAATGTACACAAGAACGTAGAACGGTAGCAGAGAAGTGTCTGTGCGCAGAAACAGCGAAGGGTCAGCAGTCGAGGGAGCGAAGCCAAGAGCCGCAAGTGTAGTCCTCAGTGTGTCGTGCCACTCGCGGTGTGCCTGTCGGAGGTCGTAGACTGGTCGCCGAAGACTCACTGGGTACCCTCAGGAAACGACCCAGTGAAGCCACGTGGACGGCGCAACCAGATAGCCTCGTGAAGGCTACCCTACAAGAAGGCTGTCGAGAAGTCGAGGGAGTGCAGCTCGTAGTCGCGCTGTGCTGCAACGTGCAGTAGCACCCGAAGAGTGGTCATCTTCGGAGTGGGGGAGAAGGTATGAAAGAAGTCGACCCCCTCACGCTGACTGAAGCCTCGTGCAACGTAACGCGCCTTGAAGGCAGGCGGAGAACCCGGTGGCCGCTTCACCCTGAAAATCCACATGCCATCGACAATGTTCGCCCCAGGTGGGGGAACCTCGTCGACGTAGGTGCCTGTGGACTTCCAGGAAGCCATCTCTGCGTCCATGGCTATCTGCCACTGAGAGGAGTACTCCCCCGTGATCGCCTCTGCGTAAGTGCGCGGGGTCGGGATGTCTAGTGCATCCGGGTCTCCCTCAGGGCAAAGTAGCGTGGACGCGAGATGAGGTGCAGCGACCGCTAGGCACTCCAGCTCAAACTGCCTGTCCTCAAGAACGTCACAGCCAAGGGCAAGCTCAACCCCGACGGACGGAGGACAGGAAGAGTAAAAAACAAGACTCGCAGCGTAGTCAAGGCGGCACAAAGCAACAAAGTCAACAAGCTCAGCAACTAAGGCAGACGTAGCAGCAGGCTCAAAGGAAGGGTCAGTCACAACTGTGGCAAGGAGACGAGTGACAGTCGGACTGGCAGCACGGACAAGGTCTGACTCAGGGTCAGGAACGCGAGGAAGAGAAGACGCAGGAGGAGACGGCAGGACAACACGCTGTGGAACAGAGGAAAGACGAAGTGCCATACGGTGAGTGCCTGGCATAGCTGGAGCACGAGGACGGACAACACGACGACCGCGAACAGGAGTGGAAGCACGAGTCTCAGGCTCACGACGCTCAAGAGTGGAAGCACGAGTCTCAGGCTCACGACGCGCAGTCAGGGACGCAGTGACCTCAGTGTGAGGAGCAGGAGCAGGCAGCGGGGAGCCAGGCAGTAGCTGTGGCTGAGACTGGTCAGTCGGTGGGAACAGTAACGGAGGAGTAGAACCAAGAACCGGGAACTCAGTAGCAGCAGGCGGGAGACTGAGAAGGCGACGAAGCGTAGACGGCTGCGGCTGAGTAGTTGCACCCCTAGAACCTCCCGCTCCAGTAGCAACAGCACCCCCAGATTCAGTGCCTCCAGCTCCAGTAGCAAAAGCACCCCCAGAACCAGTGCCCCCAGCTCCACCACCGGGACTTCCCCAACAAACAGCCCACTCGCGAAGCTGCAGCGACGAGAGCGACTCCTGCCGACTAGCACCACTAGCTCCAGTGCCTCCAACAGCACTTCCAGTAGTACCTCCAGTGCCAGCACCTCCAGCACCTCCAGCAGTACCTGCACCTCCAGCACCTCCAGCAGCGCCTGTGCCTCCAGTACCAGGAACCCCAGCACCAGCACCTCCAGGGCTAGCACCTCCAGAACCTGAACCTCCAGCACCTCCAGCAGCAGCTGTGCCTCCAGTACCAGGAACTCCAGCACTAGCACCTCCTGGGCTAGCACCTCCAGAACCTGCAGCTCCAGCACGTCCAGCGCCACCACCAGGACTGCCCCAACGGACAGCCCACTCGTGAAGCCGCTCCGGCGAGAGAGACGCCTGGCAACGTGCGCCAGGACTACCCGCAGCGACACCCACAGCAGCAGCACCTCGAGTACCTCCAGCTCTAGGAGAGGGAGCACGGCTAGCTCCACCACCAGGGCTGCCCCACTGTACAGCCCACTCGCGAAGCCGCTCCGGCGAGAGAGTCGCCCGCCGACGTGCACCAGTGCCACCAGTACGAGCAACCACAGGACCACCAGTAGCAGAACCTCCAGCTCCAGCAGTGCCAGCACCTCCAGCTCCAGCAGTCCCAGCACCTCCAGCTCTAAGACGGCTAGCTCCACCACCAGGGCTGCCCCACTGGACAGCCCACTCGCGTAGCCGCTCCGGCGAGATAGCCTCCTGCCGACTCGTAGCAGGACCACCAGCACCAGTACCTTCAGTACCTCCTGTACCCAGAGGACACTCAGCACCCCCAGAACCAGCACCCCCAGTGGTACCACCTCCTGCAGCACCAGAGTCCACAGCGACAGGCTGCAGCGGCGGTGAAGACGGTCGAGGCGACAACCCAGGAGGGACAGCCAAGCGTGCAGAGCGGCGAGGGGTCACTGTGGCAGCAGGAGTCCGGTCACCCCCCTCAGCTGGGCCAGAGGTG